TATATATATATATATATATATATATATATATACACATATACATACACATAAATATATACATACACATATACATAGCTATACACATATACATACACATATACATATATATACACACACACACACACACACACACCCACACACACACACAGTATATATACAGAATGCAGATCTTAAAGTCATCTGCCTGTAAGCTGCAGCAGAGGTGTTCCAACGGGCAGAAGAGGAAGGTCCCGGCTTAAGAAGAGAGGACACCACGCAGGAGTTCAGGTGACTCTAAAGCCGGAAAACTCCCGATGCTGTTTCTCCTTCTGTCGAACATCCGCTCGTTGGACAACAACATGGATTTGCTTTGTCTGAGAGTGGGCGCCTCAAAAGAGATAATGAAGTGTGTGGTGCTTTGCCTCACAGAAGCATGGATTACAAGTGAAAAGCTGGATACAGTCTTTCAGCTGGATAAAAGACTTTTTTCGAAAGGACCACTGCAGTGAGCTAACTGGATAATAACGGGGAGGTAGAGTGTGAATTTACGTGAGTAAAGTTGGTGCACAAACTGTACTGTTGTAAAAAAAATAAAAAAATAAAAACTCATGCTCGAAGGCTTTGGAGCAGCTAACAGTGAAACATTGCCACATTATCTACCCCGTGAGTTCACATTGACTTTCATTACCATTGCTTACATTCCTCCGGATGCTAATGCTAACGACGCTCTAGCTCCATGATCTCCTCAGCTCGCTGCAGAATAAACACCCTGAGGCTCTTTACATACTGGCTGGAGACTTTAATCACGTGAATCCAAAGGACTGCCTCCCAAGTTTTTACTAGCATGTGGGCATACCATCACGTGGAAACAACATGCTGGACCGTGTTTATACAAACGTAAAAGATGTATACAAAGCCGAACCCCACCCCCACCTAGGATTCTCTGATCACATCTCAATCTTAATGGATCATGCTTACCTGCCCCTGCTGAGACGCTGCAGACCGGTACAAAAGAAAGTTAAATGTTGGATGCAGGACATTGGCCCCATACTGAGAGATTGTTTTGACATTGGCCCCATACTGAGGGATTGTTTTGATCGAACAGACTGGCAGGTTTTCAGAGAAGCTGCTGAAAATGGAGGATCGCTTTATCTGGACCAATGCGCATCCTCAGTTTTGGGTTACATTAGTACATGTACTGACACCATCTCCACCATAAGATAAGTTAAATGTTACCCAAACAAAAAACCTTGGCTGAACGCAGAGGTGCGCACCCTGCGGGAAGCCAGGAACACTGCCTTCAGGTCTGGAAACTCACAGGAGCTGAGAAGGACAATGAAAAAGCTGGCTGCTGGTATTCAGAAGGCCATGGCCACATATGCACAGAGTATCGAGGGTCAATTCACTTCACAAGACCCTCGGAGCATGTGGAGGGGCATTAAGTGTATAACAGATTATAAACGAAGGAGTGAACAATGCCCCAAAAGACCCATCACTGCCTGATGCCCTCAACAAATTCTATGCATGCTTTGAAGCCCCAACAGACCACCCAGCACCAGATTCACCTTACCACCAGATGAAGAGCATCTCAGCATGATCTCATCAGAAGTAAGGAGTACCTTCAGGTGGACTAATCCGCACAAGGCAACTGGCCCAGACAACATACCCGGAAAAGTGTGAAAAGAATGTGCTGATCAGCTCTGCGAGGTGCTGGCAGACATTTTTAACACCTCTCTTACCCTGGAAACAGTTCCCATCTGCCTGAAGTCTGCCACCATCATCCCAGTCCCAAAAAGCTCTACAGTGCCTGGTCTGAATGACTATCGGCCAGTGGCCCTCACCCCGATAATCGCTAAATGCTTCGAAAACTGGTCAAGACCCACATCAAAACAACCATTAACATCAACGAGGACCCTCATCAGTATGCATACCATGAGAACTGAATAAACAGAAGATTCCATCTCCTCTGTGGTCCACACTGCTCTCACCCACCTGCAGCAGAAAGACTCTTATGTCTGTATGATTTTTGTGGATTTCACATCTGTCTTCAACACCATGATCCCCAAACCCTGATGGACAAACTATTCACATTAGGACTAAGCCGCTCCATTTGCAACTGAATACTAGACTTATTAACAAACAGACCACAGTCAGTGAGGATCCACAACTTCTCATCCTCCACCATAACCCTCGGCACCGGCTCTCCTCAGGGATGTGTGTTGAGCCCTCTCCTATTTACTCTGCTCACGTATGACTGTGCACCTACCCATCCAGGCTGTCATATTGTAAAGTTTGCAGATGATACAGCGGTGGTGGGATGCATCACAAACAATGATGAGTCCAGCTAGAGGAAGGAGATGGAACACTTGGAGAGCTGGTGCAAAGAGAATAACCTTCATAGGAATGTGAAAAAGACAAAAGAGATGATTGTGGACTTCAGAAGGAACAAACACACCTACACCCCGCTGAACATACGAGTATCTGCAGTGGAAGTGGCCTCCAGATACAATTACTTGGGTGTACACATGAATGACAACCTCAGCTGGGACAACTCCACCACCAGCCTGATCAAGAAAGCTCATCAGAGACTCTACTTCCTCAGGCGGCTGAGACGAGCTGGTCTGGGAAGCTCAGTCCTCATCTCCTTTTACAGGTGTGCAGTGGAGAGCATCCTGTGCTCCAACATCAACGTGTGGCATGGAGGCTGCACAGCTGCAGCTTTCTGTCCTCTCAAACCAGCCGGTCAAAGCAGATGGCTGCTTGTCCTGAGCCTGGTTCTGCTGGAGGTTTCTTCCTTTTAAAAGGGAGTTTTTCCTTTCCACTGTTGCCATTGTGCTTGCTCGGGATGGGAGACTGCAACGAAGCCAAGATTCAACTTGTGTGCTGGCCTCCTTAGATAGACAACTTTACTAATTGTCTTTTTTATGTATGTGAATGTTCCTGTAAAGTGTCCTGAGACAAATTTGTTGTGATTTGGTGCTATATAAATAAACTGAATTGAAGTGAGAAAGAAAAGCTTTGCATAGAGTGGTGAAGGCTGCACAGAAGTCTGTTGGAGTCAGGCTCCCCACCATCACAGACATCTACACCTCCAGATGCAGGAAGAGGGCCACCTGCATCATGAAGGACCTCACTCCCCCAGCACAAACACTTTTTGCCCCACTCCCCTCAGGAAGGAGGTTGAGGAGCATTTAGTGTAGAACCACTAGACTGAGGAACAGCTTCTACCCTGAAGCTGTTAGACTCATGAATATCTAACCAGAATAATCACTGTGAAAAAATAGCATTGTGTTGCTGCTGATCTGTTTCATGTTGCTGCTGATCTGTTTCATGTTGATATGTTCATGCGTGCTCATCTGCTCACACAGACTCATGCTCATGTTCGTGCTGCTGTTCGACATAATGTTTTTATGCTATTAGTGCTTAGTGTATATTGAGCTGATGTTTTTCTTAGTTCATATCTTAGATGTTTTCATTGTTTTTCTTTGACATTTTATTGTTGGATGTAATTGGGACCCTGTGTACATAATTTCGTTCCACCACATGTGGTGCGAACAACAATAAAGAATCTCTGATTCCATCCATCCATCCATCCATCCATCCATCCATCCATCTATAACCCCAGGGCAGACCCAGAACTAGCTGGAGTGGTCTTATAGTGGTGGGCAGCTGTGGTTGAGTGGTTAGAGCAGTCGTCCTCCAATGCAAGAGTTGGGGGTTTGAATCCACCAGTAGTCACATGCCAGTCACATGCCGAAGTGTCCCTGAGCAAGTCACTGAATCCCTCATAGCCTCCGATGTGTGTCCCATCGGTGTATGAATGTGACAAAACTCAGATTAGTCTCTTTAGAATGATTTGTTCAATTAGCTTTGTATAGATCTAGTAGAGTGCTGTATGAATGGGTAAATGAGGCACAGATTGTAGTGTAAAGCACTTTGAGTGTCTTGACAAGATAAAAAGGTGCTACAAGTACAGTCCATTTATTTAACTGTCAGGCAGTTAGGTGTCTTGCTCAATAACACCTCAACATAAGGGTGTGGAGAGGAATTGAACCTGCAACTTTCTGATCCCAAGTCAGCTGCCCTCCCTCAAACCTAAATACAGACAAATCATGACTAAAGTCTCATGTGACCAAACATTAACCTGACTGCAAATCTTCCAAAAGGATGTTCTGCCCTGAACATGGATAAATGTGTGTTAAACAGGAAGAGATACAATATTTCACTTATTCTATTTATATGAATGCATCACTGATAGAAAAAAAATGTTTAAAATCTTATAAGGTTTTAGAGTCACACCAAATAAAAATATACATTTATAAAATACACAAAAATCTGACAACTTATATTCAATTGGAGATATAAAATGCACATTTATCAAAATTGATTACAATGAACCAGAACAGCACTGGGGTGTGTTCCAACATTTGCTGCGCTCTAGTGGTGGTTTCTTCACATGACATCTACTGTAAAACTACCACCGATATAATATTAAAGCTGTCAGCAGTCACCTCACAGAAAGTTCCTGTTCGGAATAAAAACAGAATAAATTTGGAATAACTACAGAATACCTTTGAGGAAGGCTTTGTATGCCAGCATGAAACAAATCTCCTTAAATGCCTTTATTTGTTGGTGCTTGCTCTTTTTGTTTGAATAGTTGAAATGCCACTTTAGTCAGATGGTTTAGAAGATACAAGATAATTATACACACATATACTAGTATAAGTCTTATTTTTTTACTTTTCCATCTTTTATGTCAACATTTGCTTTTCTGGGTAACAGGAAGTAAAAAATTAACTGAGTTTGCACAAAAAATCATTAACAGATCCCAAGCTGACCTCTGACAAGCTAAATGCAGTAGTTTGTATTGTTATAGCTCACATTTATATTTAAATATTCAGAGTTTTTAATTCTATGCCGAGAAAAAACGTAAACAGTTGTATATGTTATGCTCCTCATTACCATATAGAAATAGTTTGCACTTGATAACAGTGTTGTTCAGCAGGTAGGGAGTTGTTGAAAACAAAGAGGAGGAATAAGAGATTCTTAAAAACTCACCCAGTCGGTTAACAACAAGCTCTTATTAGATTTGATTATACCAACCTCTGCAATCAGGTCTCCATTCTCAGCATGCACCTGAGCCACAGCTCCGACCTCCTTACACTGAGCGATGGCAGAGTATAACTCAGCGTCCTGAAGCATGAACACGTCTTTATAGGCCATGAACATCTTGAAGGAATTTACTCCCTTTTCTTTGGCCAGAGTCTCCATCTCTTCCTTGACCTAAAAATAAAAATGCTTTAATGAAACACAGACTAAAGCAGAGGTGGGCAATGTTTTGTTGTTGTTTTTTATCTCCAAAAGGCCACATCAATATGTTTAAAGCAATCAAAGGGCTGCATAGAGAATTGGAAAATATTTTTTCTTTATGACAGACAATCTAGAAGAGCTTTTTGGGGCTTTTTCTTATTGTAGCATTAGCATGCTTTATAAAACACGTCTTTCAAAAATCCTTTAGGAATATGACACAGATTCTGTAAACTGACTCTTGACAATATATTACACATGTTAGCTTAACAAGTTTTACATGTTAGTGGAAATAAGCAAAACAAACTTATATATTTGTGTTGCTAAGTCTTCAAGGTTCAGTCCAGTTCTGGAAACACATCGACTTTTTCAGGTTCTCGTGACTCAATGGGACTAACCTGTTTAAATAAAGGTTGAATGAAAACTTTGAAAATATATTTTAAAAATTCCAACAAAGTTAAGTCAGGTCCTCTTTCTTTCTTTTTTTGTTGAAACGTTTCATTCTTCACTCAAAAGGACTTTATCAGTCCAAGGAGCCACAATAAACTCAGTACCATAAGTGGCTTACTCAGTGGACCAACCAGCTTGATGGTGATACATTTTGTGGCTCCATGGACTGATGAAATCTTTTGGATGAAGAATGAAACATTTCAACAAAATAGACGAAACCCAAAAAAAGTTCAATCTGGTCCTCTGGACATTTAAAAAAACAAAACAAAGCAAAAAAATGTAGATACGTTTCGTCTCTCATCCGAGAGACTTCCTCAGTCTGAGGTGCTGTTTTCAGCTCAGTCTCTTAAATAGCACCTTCTCAGAGTGGATCAACCGGGTTCAACTGTCCCCCTCTTACAATGCTGTGATTGCTAGTATCACTCAGCCCTCTGTGAGTAGTAAACACCCATCAGCATGCTAATGGTCCATTGTTAGGCTGATGGTCCTTCTTGAGCATGTGATCAGCTGGTTTTGGTTGTCAGCAGCAAAACTGGTTGATCCACTCTGAGACGGTGCTATTTAAGAGACTGAGCTGAAAACAGCACCTCAGACTGAGGAAGTCTCTCGGATGAGAGACGAAACGTTTCTACATTTTTTTGCTTTGTTTTGTTGTTTGTTTTTTTGAATGTCCAGAGGACCAGATTGAACTTTTTTGGATTTTTCTACCTGGATTATTGAGCATGCATCAAGATAAAATAGAAGAAACTGTCCAGAGAACCTGACTTAACTTTGTTGGATTTTTCTACCTGGATTGTTGATTATTAACTTTGATGTTTTGAACCACTTTGGCTATGGCTGCCTCAGAGGAGTTTACGGGGGAAGAGGGCATACTCTAGAAACCACCTTATCACCATCAAACTGTTTGACCCACTATGTGAGTGTACTGCTTGTGGGACTGAGTTTGTTGTGGCTCCTCAGACTGATGAAGTCCTTAGGATGAAGGATGAAACGTTTCAACATAAAGAAACCGTCCACAGGACCTGACTAAACTTTTTTTTTTTTTTTTTTACCTGGATTATTGAGCATGAACTTTGATGTTTATAAAAAAAGTTTTGTGTATGATGTTTAATTTAAATTTCCTTAAGTATCATTGATAATTTGCTGTATTTATTTTAAATCAGTCTTTATTTAAAAAGTTGTGTTTTTTTAATTAAGGATATTGGGGGCCTGTTGGAGATTGTCCAAGGGCCACTTTTGGCCCTCGGGCCTTTAGTTGCCCAGGTCTGGACTAGGGTATTGGGAGCCAAGTTAAAACTGGTATCTGTTGTTTTTTGTTTGTTTACTAAAAAAAAAAAAAAAAGTGTTATCAGTGATCATTCACCTGGTCCCCCCACCATGTGACAGCGACGTGCAGGGAGTAGTCACAGCAAACTTTGGGATCAGCTGTTTTACGCCAGCAGTCGTAGGCTTCCAGGAGAGACTTTCCTTTTTGAGGTATTACGAAGTCCAGGATCATGGTGGTCCCTCCTGCGAGAGCAGCCTGATCAAAGATAGAACGTAAAAGGTCCTCATGCTAATATGGAGCCAAAATGCATAAAATGTGAGAAAGATGCATTCATTCAAGGAATGCTCAGTCTTTAACTTATTTTGTTTGTCAGTTTTATGCCTTTTTGACATTTGCACTAACCAGTCATTTGAGTGTGTGGTAAAATGTAACATGAAGCTACTGCACCTTGGTCCCAACATGAAAATCATCCACAGCCTTGGTGCCCATGAAGGCCAGCTCCATGTGGGTGTGCGTGTCTATCCCTCCTGGGATCACCAGCTTGTCCGTGGCATTGATAACTCGCACCCCAGCTGGAATCTGAAGGTTCGGTCCAACATCAATTATTTTCCCATTTTCGATGTAAACGTCGCTGATCACAGAGCAGTCCTCGTTGACAACCTTCCCGCCTTGAATCAGGATCCTGCTGGATTCTGCCATCTCTGCAGCAGCTGCAGCTGAAAGCGTCACAGTGAATGTGAGGAAGGATCCAGGTTTGTGCAAACTGGACTCTGGTCTGTGATTCTGGCCTGTCTGAAACCACTGAGCAAACAGGTCAGGGTCAAAGTTCACATCAGGTATTTGCTCACTGACGTGGTTCAGAACTCTGCAGGTCTGCAGAAAAACAACAACAAACCTTTTAAAAGACTATTTATCGGGCAGCACATACCTTAAACTTGCAGCCAGCTCCAGACAAAATACATTTAAACTTCTGCTTGGTCTGGTCAAGACTTGAAACCTGCCTTAGAAACAAGAGCTGCACGCGTTAGTTAGAAATGTTGTAGATTGCCTCACCCTGTCTACAGGGGTTTCTCTTTCTTTTCCTCCTCCCCTTGAATCCCCTCATTCCATAGGAGGACATGTGAGCTGTTTATGTACTACAGAGACACACCCACTGGAGAAGTTTCCACTCTCCACTCTCAGACAGAACAGCTGCAGCTCATTACTCTTCCATCCATCCATCCATTATCTTTTACCCGCTTCTTCCATTTTGGGTCACGGGGGTCGCTGGTGGCCATGTCCAGCAATCACTGTGTGGGGGGCGGGGACACCCTGGACAGGTCTCCAGTTCATCACAGGAACACATAGAGACAAACGAGACAAACAACCATTCACTCTCTCACTCACACCTAGAGTCAATTTAGAGTCACCAATCAGCCTAACATGCATGTTTTTGGTGAGTGGGAGGAAACCAGAGTACCTGGAGAAAACCCACACATGCACGGAGAGAACATGCAAACTCCACCCAGAAAGGCCCCCAGCTGGGATTCAATCTGGCGACCTTCTCGCTGACAGGCAGCAGCTCTAATAACTGAACCACTGTGCCACCCTGCTTATGTTCTATTTACTAATTTTGTGTTTCTAAAAATACATATAACAATTTGAAAATTTTGACTCCTTTATTCATTTAGTAATATATTTATTATATTAAATGTTTCTTTGATTTTTCCTAATTCTTCCATCATATGTCTTCTGTGATGTTCATATTTGTAGCTCATTTCTCATCATTGATCCTCTGCTCATAAGACAGGCTCAGACAAGTCTCTGCAGCTCGACTGTACAGTCATCGCAGTGAAAACTGGACACACTTTAGTGTTAAAGGTTGAAAACTTGTGCTGCTTGTGTTTTAAAACGTTTACCTGTGAAGATGACCAGGTGAAATAACTCTCTGAATCACTGCAGCTTTACAGTCTATTCTGTTCAAAATGTTAATTTTTAAGGCTTCAAATACTCATTAGTAAAAAAATGGCATGAGAATATATCTTGCCAAAGAGATTTCCAAAGTAAAAAAAAAAAATCACTCTAAAATGCCTTAAAAAAAAGGGAGGTCCAGCTGTGACTGTAAAGACTCAAAAATTCAAACGAGCACGTCTTAATCAGGATGTACAATAATGTGGTTTTGAAACTAATAAAGTCAAAATAACTTCTCTTTCATCATTACTCCATCAACAAAACTCCTACACGACGTCTCTTGTTATGTTCTCTTAGACTGTTGTAACTGAAATGTAATTTCGTTGTGCTCCGGTGCAATGACAATAAAGCTGATTCTGATTATTAAGCCTGAGAGTTACCGGATCCTATCAAACAGTTACCGGAACGCACCCTGCCAAAATATGAGAGTTCCCAGATCCAGTTCCGGCAGATCCAGCTCAAATTAAACCCTGCTTTCAAAATATGAGAAAGAGGTGGGTCTGAAATCCAAGTGATGTGGTTTCACACACTTTGGGTTTAATGTTGTATTTTTTGTTTTGTGTGTTTCTGTGAAACCTTGGAAAATATGAGATAAAAAGAA